ATGGGGAAGATTTAGAAAAGAAGAGGAAGGATATATCACAAAGGAAAAACCAGCAGAACAATTACAGAGATGGAAATGAGGATAGCATTTATAGGGGTACAGTGAAAACACCAGACTGACGAGAGGACAACATGTAAACTAGAGAAGTCAATGAGAGGACCAGATTACAAGTAACCCTAAAAATGCAAGAAAGAGTTTAGATCTAACACTATAAGAACCCACTAAACATTACTGAACAAAAAAAATGTCACCATGAAAGCTGGCAGGGAGACTTAATGTGCAAAACATTTGAATTAGAGGAGGGAAAGACAAATCAGCTATGATTCTGTTGCAGTCATCTAGAAGTAATGAAAGATGCTCCATGATGGCAAGGTGGCATTCGTTCAAACACTTGCTATGTGTCCTGTATCCACAAGACTCTGTGCTAAGCATGGGAGATAAAAAGTCAAGTCCTAGACCTGCCAAAAATGAGCTCTGAAAAGCAGTATAAACATAGGAAGGGGGGGCGGGCAGGACATAAATGTTTTAGAAAGTAGCTCATGAAATCAGTGATAAGGGGGAAAAAAAAGTCAAAGGTTTCTAACCCTCAAGAGTTCTAATTCAAGTACACATACAGGAAGCACATCCATACAACCCAAGGATTAATGATGAGGAAAACAAGCAGGAAGTAGTCATGACTATACCACACACATGGGAGACATGTGACTAGAGAAGAAAAAGGAATGATTGGTTGGCAGCTAGAAACGCCAGAAGACTGAATTTTTCTTTGTTTTACAATGAGAAAGGCAAAATAAGTCTTACGGTTTAAGAGGAAGGTCCATAAAAAGGAATAGATTGAAGATGTTAGAAAGAAAAGAAAAAATTACGAGATTAAAGTACTGAGGGAGGTGGCAAGGTATAGATTTCGAAGTAAAATAAAATGGGTAAACTATAGGGACAAGAGACCATTCAGGTTCAAGGGCAAGATGGTTAAATAACATACTGAGACAGTAGTATGCTAAACTTAAAATGAAAGACTCAGACGGGCACAGTGGCTCATGCCTGTATTCCCAGCACTTTGGGAGGCCAAGGCGGGAAGACTGCTTGACCCAGGAGTTCAAGGCTGCAGTGAGCTGTGATAGTGCCACTGCATTACACACTTCAGTCTGGGTGACAGAGACCTTGTCTCCACAAAAAAAAAGAAACAAAACAAAACAAAAAAGCAACAACAAAAAAGAGGACTCATGCTAGTCTCAAACTTTTCAGTAATAGATGAGGTAGAGAAACAAAAATGTTAAGTAAGAGAAATGATTTAGAGTAAACCTCTCTCAAACCCTAACATCAAATGAGAAGATAGATATAAAGGTCAAGTCTGAACTATTCTAGTCTTCCACCAATACTACTCCGCAACTCGGAGCAAGAAGTAGGTTAGATATTCTGCATTAAGAATTAGTGAGACGTGAAATATCACAAGAATAGAAAAACAAGTACCACCATGTACTCACCATCAAATTGGTATTAACTGATCAACACTTATATGCACATATAGTAGTAACATGCACTGGGTGTCAGGCAGGTGGGACGGGGGAGGAAGAGATGGGTATATTCACACCTAATGGGTGTGGTGTGCACCGTATGGGGGATGGACACACTTGAAGCTCTGACTCTGATGGGACAAAGAGGCAATATATGTAACCTAAACATTTGTACCCCTGCAATATGCTGAAGTAAAAAATAAAACAAAAATAAAAGAATTAGTGAGATGAGGACCGGGGATGGTGGCTCACACCTACAATCCAGCACTTTGGGAGGCTGAAGTGGGTGGACCACTTGAGGCCAGGAGTTTAAGACCAGCTGGCAACACAGTGACACCCCATCTCTACAAAACAAAACAAGAAAATTAGCTGGGCGTGGTGGCTTGCACCTGTAATCCCAGCTACTTGGAAGGCTGAGGTGGGAGGATCCCTTGAGCCCAGTAATTCCAGCTTGGGTAACGGAGCAAAACCCTGTCTCTATTAAAAAAAGAAAAAGAAGAAGAAGAATTAGTGAGATGAGTACAATGAAAGACCAGGGAAGTATACATGTCCAAAGAAATGAAAAAGATAGCACTGAAGTAGTGGGCATATCTGGCCAAATTACTAACAGATACAAGACTGAAAACAACTGATGTGTTAAATAAGCCTATATCCAGGAAATCCCACTCATGTAAGATTTTTCCTCAGAAATAAAGACCTTAATTAAGTTATGCATCTTAGGCAGCAAAGTGATACCCAATTAACAAAAGACTAAGAAAGCAAACACAACTTTTGGGATGCTAACAGTGGCACTGTTAGGAAACCTGAAATTATCACAGAAAATGCTTCGCAAAAAGAAAATATAGCCAAATAAAAAGAATATTAGATTTGAAATCAGAGGACAGGGTTTGAATCCCATTTTAGGCAAATAATATCATTCTTTCTAGACCTCAATTCCTCATCTGGAAAATGGTAATAATAATAAAAAGTAAATAATATAGGAATAATAAAACCAGTAACTAACATTTTTTGAATATTTATGTGCCAGGCACAGTTCTAACTATTTCAGATGTATTAGGTCGTTTAATCCACACATTAACTTTATTGAGGCTATTAACTCCATTTTTCTGATGAAGAAACCAAGACAGAAAAGTTAGATCAACTGCTCAGAATTACACAGCTATTATGTGATAGAGGCAGAATTTCAACCTGTGCAATCTGAACCCAGAGACTATATTCGTTTTTTCTTTTCTTTTCCAGATAGGGTCTCACTCTGTTGCCCTGGCTGGAATGCAGTGGCATCATCATAGCTCACTGCAACCTCAAATTCCTGAACTCAAGCAATCCTCCTGCCTCAGCCTTCCAATTAGCTGAGACTATGGGTACATGCCACCACATCCAACTAATTTTTTTAATTTTTTTGTAGAAATGAGGTCTCACTATGTTATCTGGGCTGGTATCGAACTCCTGGGCTCAAGCAATCTTCCCACTTCAGCCTCTTAAAGTGCTAGGATTATAGGTGTGAGCTACCATGCCTGGCCTCTATATTCTGTACTATGTTCTTCTGTCTCTCCTGGTTATGAATATAAGAATAAATAGTGCTTTAAGTGTACACAAATGTCCATCATTAATGTTGAATATCAAGTGACAGGACAAGGTAATCTAAACAAAATCCTACACCATTAATCTACAAACAATCAACATTCTATAAATGCATGGGCCTTGTCCTCAAAAACCAGGGAGGGCAAGCCAGGCACAGTGACTCATGCCTATAATCCCAGCACTCTGGGAGACAGAGGCTGGGGGATCACTTGAGGCCAGGCTTTGAGACCAGCCTGAGAAACATAGTAAGACCCCCCATCTCTAAAAAACAAAGAAAAGAAGAAAAGGAAAGGAAAAAGGAAAGGAAAGGAAAGGAAAAAGGAAAATGAAAGGAAAGGAAAAGAAAAAGAAAAAGAAAGAAAGAAAAGAAGCTGAGCATGGTGGTGCACACCTGCAGTCACAGCTCGTCAAGAGGCTGAGGCAGGAGGATCACTTAAGTCCAAAAGGTTTAAGGTTACAGCAAGCTATGATGATGCCATTGCACTCTAGCCCAGACAACACAGGGAGACACTGTCTCAAAAAAAAAAAAATAAATAAAAAGCAGGGAGGGCAGATAAGTAAAGAGGACAATTATTTGATATAGACAAAATAGGACAAAATATACATGCTGCTTTGCAATGATTAGCTTAGCTGAAGTAAGTGGTATAATCAGTGATACAAGAATAAAGAACCCTCAGAAATCAACAAACCACAGCCTCAAAAAATAACAGCACTAAATGCAATGGGCCAAAAAAAACTGAGCCAGAAAAGAGATCATTATAATTCTTTTTAAAGTAAACGTTTCTGAACAATCTTGAAGCTTTAAAAAGAAATAAGACTTCAAACAGCCATAGGCTTTCACAGAGCAACAAATTTCATATATGCACAGGAAAGGATTAGCATTTCAAACAATGGTCCTAAGCCACATCATATTATAACTAAAAAATAGTTGAGGCCAGGCACAGTGGCTCATGCCAGTAATCCCAGCACTTTGAGAGGCTGATGTGGGATGATCCCGAGAGCCCAGGAGTTCGAAACCAGCCTGGGCAACACAGCAAGACTCCTTTTCTACAAAAAAATTTAAAAAACAAGGCTAGGAGCAATAGCTGATGCCTGTAATCCTAGCACTCTGGGATACCAAGGCAGGAAAATTATTGAGCTCAGGAGTCCAAGAGCAGTCTAAGCAAGAGCAAGACCCCATCTCTACAAAAAAAAGAAAAATCAGCCAGGCGTGGTAGCACATACCTGTAGTAGTCCCAGCTACTAAGGGGGCTGGGGAAAGAGGATCACTTGAGCCCAGGAGTTTGGGATTGCAGTGATGTATGATGATTCCACTGCACTCTAGTTGGGGCAACACAGTGAGACTCTGTCTCCAAATAATTAATTAAAAATTTTTTTTAAATTAAAAAACTCGCCTGGTGTGGTGGGGCATGCCTGTAATCCTAGCTACTTGGGAGTCTGAGGTGGGAGGACCAATTGAGCCCAGGAATCTGAGGCTTCAGTGAGCTATGATGATACCACTGCACTCCAGCCTGGATAACAAAGTGAGACCTTGTCCCTATTTAAAAAAAAATAGTTGATACTAGGCACTATAACATACAAAGCACTGTTCTAAGCACTTAAAAAGTATCCATTTATTTAATCCTCACAACAACCCTATGAGGTAAGTCCTAATATTATCCTCATTTTATAGACAGGGAAAATAAGGCGAAAATGGGGTCAAGTTATTTGCCCAAGTTTACTCAATGAGGGCAGTGCTGGGGTATCAAACCCAGGAAGTTTGCCTCCAAAATATGTTATACTTTCTCTAGTAGAAAAACAAGAAGCAGAATAAGAATTTATTCAGAAGTATTATTCAATCATATTTACTAACAAGGAGGAAAGTACCTTTCATTCACAATAAACAGATAATAATTAATTACTTACAGCAGTTCTATCCTTGGCTTTCTCTCCAACTTAAGTCTGCACATTTTTTCTGGACAATCTCATCAACTCCCCTGGCATCAAATACAATCTACTTGCTGATGCCCCTCAAATTTATAATAGATCTCCAGCCCAATCCCTCTTCTGCATCTTAAACTTGCACCAAAAACCTAATAGATATTTTTCTCTAAATGATTCATGAGCACCTCAAAATCAACATGTCCAAACTGAATCATCATCTCCATCCCACTTCATCTTCCACTCTCAAACCCCTTCCTCCTCCTGTACTCCCTTATCCCAATGACTGCCACCATCATCTACCTGGTTGCCGAAGTCAGAAACCTGGATGTCATGCCAGACTCCTCAGTCTTCCTCCCCTTCTGTGCCCAATGAATCACTGATCACCACCATGTCTATCTCCTAAGTGTCTCTCCAATCAGTGCATGTCTCTTCATTCCCATTGCCTTACTTAATTTTATAATTTTACAAGGCTATCCTTGTTTGTACTTTGTGTTGTTGAGCACAACTGATTATCTTTTATTCTAGTGGTATGTCCTGTCCCATCTGATGACAAACTCCATTAATAGAGAACCATGTATACATTTCTTGGCTAACTCTCTAATGTGTACTTTTTTTAGAAGATTACTGCCATCAGAAATAAGACCCAGTTATTTTACAAAAAAAAAATAATTTCCTCTCACAAATCCATATACTATTACAAGTGTTCAATGACAGCTAGTATAAGCCATGCACTATACTAAGTGTATTATACAAATCGCGCCATTTAATGTCCACAACAACGCTATAGGCTGGATACTATTAGTATCCCTATTTTCCAGATGAGGAAAACTAAATAAAACTAGGCCCAACAACTTGGCCAATGTTCCAAGTTAGAAAACAACAGTCAGAATTTGAACCCATATCAGAGTGACAGTAGAGCCTATTTTCTTAAGCACTTGCCATTTTGTCTCTGAAAGAGAAAATGAAATAAGTTTTAAAGCTACAAAGAAAAAAAAGCACAAGGCTTTTATCAAGGAGATATCAGTCTCCTTGATAAAAGAGTGTAACACTATGGAAGTCGACACTTAAGAAAAGACTTTTTTAAAGGGAAGTCCACAAATCTTTAAGAAATGTCAGCAAACTAAAAAGATTCAGAGCAACAAAAATACAACTGTCAAAAAAAAGTAATTCATTTGAATATTTCCTTTCTTGGGACATCATAATTCACAGAAATATGGTTTTATTAAAACCAAAAATGTCTACTGTCTTATATATAAGTATATCGCACAAAGAAACTCTAGAAATATTAGAATCCTCCACTGTAATTCAATTTTTATTTGGAGGGTCAGAGGGAGAAACCAACAACCACAAGTAGGTAAAATGCTCGGAAACCTCAACCTTGATCACTTGCTTACTTCCAGACCCCTAAAATACGAGTGAAAGGGCCAATGTATAAAGAACACTATCATCCATCTTCCTCTGGTGCTGCAAGAAACACAGGCGCACAGTTAAATTCACCAAGATCAGCTAAGATTAAGCTTCAGCCTACAATTCGTCAAGGATTCGGCAGCTGCACACAGAAGGTGCAGACCACAGCTCTCAACTTTTCATTTTGGCCATCCGTTTTAAGTCCTGGGTGCACAAGCCCACTTTGAACTGGGCCCCAGCGTGCAAAGAGGGTTGCTGTCAGATTTCTCAGGAAGGCTGAGAGGCGTGAAGGAGGGGCGGCCTCCCACCCGCCCCGAGCCCACCGCGCCGCTCCTTTTGTTGGGGTGGAGAGGAGGGCGGACCCCGCACCCTCCTGGGGGCAAACAGGGGGTGGGCGGAGAGAGGGAAGGGGGCGAAACGCCGCGGCGGCCCCCAGCCAACCCGGGGGTGGGGACACAAAGAATTTGGGAACCGGCCGACGAGGTCCTCCACCCGCCCTTCCATAAACCGCCGCGAAACTCCAGGCCCGGGCCACCGAGGAGTCGGCAGAGGCGGGCGCGCCACCGTCCGCGGCCCCCTGCGCTCCCGGCCGCTGCTCAGCAGCCAGCGGGGGCCGAAGGCCGGGGTTGGAGCGCGGCGCGAGGCCCCCGCGGCGCCCGCATTAACCGCGAACCCCCGCCGCCCCTCAGCCCAGCCGCGGGCCAGGCCGCAGGATCCCCGCGCCCGCCTCGCCACACCCACCCGCCTCCTAGGCCCGGCCCGGGAGGACTCTCCCGCTCTCCCTCTGGCTGCGGCGACGCGCCCCACGCCCAAGATTTACCTGCTGATTTTCTGGGCGAAGGCGCGGCGCTCGGCCATGGCTGCTGAGGCGGCGGGCTGGGCGCGGACCGGCGGGCGCGTGCCTCCTCGCTCGCGCTCCCTCCCTCGCGGCCTCCGCCAGTCCCGGCTCCGGACCTGGGAGGCTGGGGCTGGCGGCCGGAGCCGGGAACGAGCCCTGCCGTAATGCTCCTTAGAGGCGCGCACCGAGAAACCGCTCCTCCCCCAGTGCGTCAATCCCGGCGGGAGCCCCGGCTTCGGAAGGCGGCCGCGGCCGGCTGGAGCTGAGGGGAAGAATGGAGCGTGCAGGGCCCCGGACGCCGGCGCTGGCCGCCTCGCTGCCGCAGGGCCTGCGCGACCAAAAGGTCGCGGCGAGAAGCCAGAAGAGAGGCCGGCGACCTGGCGAGGCAAGAAAATAAGATAACCAAATGCGTGGGGGGAGCTTGGCTTTCCCGAAAAGGAAGAGAAGGAAGTGGAAGATGGACTTTGCCGCCAAGGATGAGTGGGTTCATGTTCCTGCAGCGCTCATTCCGAGCAGTTTAAAGCACCTTCTCTAATGCTTCGACCTCGTGAAGCATTAGAGAGGCCTGACGAGAGAAACAATGTTTTTTTTGTTTTTGTTTTGTTTTTTTACAGAAAAACAGCCAAAAAGACTTTTCTCTTGCAGAGGTAACAATAGTAATAGTTGACTTGTGGTGCTTAGCCAGGCACTGGATTAAAGTTTTACACGCATGCTCTTCACCACCACAATAACACTTTGAAAGTAGGGTGTTATTATTTCATTTTCGAGAGAAGGAAATTGGCTCAGAGAAGCTACCTGACTGGCCCCAAGTAGCACAGACGTTAAACTCTTCCAGTGAGGTTCAAACTCAGAGCCCAGGCCTTTTCTTTGAGGACAGTTGCTTTTATATTAATAATACTCTTCATGAGTCCTTTACTTGCCCCTTTTGGATCATTTTATATATATATATATATGTATATATATATATATATATCTCCAGGTGAACTCTAACGTTCTTCGCCATTTTAATGTTCTGTTAAGTAATCTCTGTTTATCGCTGAAACCACTGCCCATAATATCCTATAAAATAGAGACTAGCTGAGATCATGTCTTATTCTATTGTAATCCCATAGTATCTAGACTATTTGGCTTCTAATGCATATTTGCTGATTACTGAAGTTATGAAAAATTAAGGAAAATATTTTGGTTTCTTGTATTACCTTTCCTCTTAAGTATTGCAAGAATTTAATATGTGTGTTTATTTATTGTTATTATTATATTCTCAGTGTGTCCTTGTGGAGTATGTTGGATACCTATTTTCCTCTCTTTTACCATTGGAAAATTATAGCTTGGAGCCTTAAGGTCACTTGCCCAGAGTCACACACTGAGTCAGAGGTGAAAGCCTCTATTAGTCAGATCCATAACTTCCTGTCTACCACTGTAACCTCTGTGAAAAGCTTAGTTTATTTGTGTAACAGTGCTCATTCCAATAACACACTGCTTTTATTTATTTGTTTTTTTTTAGAGACAAGGTCTCCCTGTGTCGCCCAGGCTGGAGTGCAGTGGCTATGCACAGGCCCTGTCATCGCACACTACAGCGGAGAACTCCTGGGCTGAAGTAATCCTGATCCTCCTGCCTCAGCCTCCAGAGTAGCTGGGACTACAGGCTCGCACCACCCACCGTACCCTCAGTGACACACGGCTTTTAAATACTTGTTTTCTGGTGGAAAAGATAGTCTATTAGGAGAGGACATATATTTAACTTCTACCTAAGTGTAGAGGGCTCTAAAAAATACAAAGGTGAACTAGACACTGTTCTATACTCAGAATGTTTGAGTCCATTGGGAAAGAGGAAACAGCTATCAAAGAACTATAATTGTAGGCTACCACTGTACCTACTTTTAAGACCCTCCATGACTTGAACCCAATGGTGTTTTGCCACTTCCTTACTATGTGACCTTGAACAAGTTACTTAACCTCATCTTTAAAATGGGGCAAATAACTGTACCTACTTAAAAAGGTATTGTGAAGATTTATAGACTTAATTCATAAAAAGTTCTTAGAACTTATTCATGGTAAGTACTATATGTATTAGCTATTGGTATTATCACTGTTATTGTCATTATTCATCCTATACTTAAGCTTGTCCTGGGTTCTTGATAGTCCCTGAATCGGTTGTCTGCTCTCATACTCCCTGCCAGATGTTGTATGCCTTTATCTCTGCTCTCCAAACATCTTTTCACTACTCTGTTAGAGAACTAACCACATTTTGCTTTGAATAGTTCTTTGTATACATGACTCACTAGTTGCCAAAGTGTCTGAAAGGACATTGCATGCACTGTGTAGCTCACTGGAACCATTTAGAGCAGGAAGAGGCCAAGCAGGACCAAGCTGTAGGCAGGGTATTCAGACTCTTGGGAACACTCCAAGCAAAAGGGGTGGCCCCCACCTCTGGGGAAGAGCTGGCAGTCACAGACCAAGTCCAGTGTGACCTGGCATCCCTGCCCCACAGGGGTCCAAACTCAGGGAAATAAATGGGACTCGGCAATGGGAGTGAAAGTAGAATTGCTTTAGCCAACTAGCACCCATGTTCCCCACACCACCCCCTACACACACACACACACACACACACACACACACACACAGGTCTCAATCCACTGTACTTCTGTGGAACTCACACCTCCCGATACCTCATTTAAAGCGTGAGCATTTGACCTAGGCCTGGCCAAGCAAGAGAAGCACATTCCCTTGGCTTCTGTGACTAGTATGGGGATAGACACGGGAATTAAGCCAAGACAATTAGACCCAACCAGAATTGGAAATCGCATTTGCTATAACTAGGGGACTCTATGTGAAGAAAGCCTATGTGAGAGTGAAGTCAAACATAGCAGGGAAGAGAGCAAAAATTTACAAAAGATGAGCCCCATATAATATGACTTAAACCTTGGACTTTGCAGTTACATAAACTAATAATGTGCTGGATTTTTTTTTTTTTTCTAGTTTGAGTTGAGTTTTCTGAGCAGTTGAAAGAATCTTACCTGATACAGGCCTTTATTTAGTCAACTAATATTCATTAAATATCCACAATACTAGACCCTAGAGATACAGTGGTAAATAAGTCATTATTTCTGTCTTCAATGAGTTTATAGTCCGGTTGAAGAGGTAAGTAAGTAAACAGTATATTACATGCTGAGACAGAAAAAATTTAGGAAGCTGTTTGAGTACATGTAATTTCTCAATAGCATCAGTTCTCATCACTGGGTAAAGACTGACTTTTCACCAAAATGTTTATTTTATATGAGATGGTAAAAATTGGGTAGAGTTTAGCCTCACGTTTAACCTTGCAGAAAGGCTGGCTGGAACTCTGGGAGCAACGGAGGCCCAACCATTGACTGGTTGGATTCAGGACCCAAGTTCCCCACTGATGGGAAGAAACTACTTACCCAGGTCCAGAAGCAATTTGGCAGAATAGCCCAAAACAACGAATTTTAGGTAAGAAAGCCTCAAAACAGTTTTCTTATTAGACATACAAGTGTACTAAAGTCTCAAGCAGAAGACTTAGGAATAAGACAGGAAAAAAAAAGAAAAATGGGGTAAGTCATATGAGTTTTACATTCTAACTGATATCAAACTCAGGTTTCCCCCTTTAATATGGCACTAAGGAGGATTATGGAAGAGCATGGTCAAGGTTCTAACGACACCGTAGAAAAGAGTAGAGTTTTTATATCGAAGGATAGAGTTCTGGCTTTGCAGGTGGAATGCATGTTCTCTATGGGGATTTTGAGGGGCAGAGGGAGTGGTTGGGCTTTTATGAAGCACTACTGGTTTTATACAGTAAGAACAGCATGGAGCTCCTTTCCCTAGAAGCTTCTAGAAAGGCCATATGAATGTGGCCCGGACAAAGGGAGGACTAGGGCATGACACGTGGGTTTACCACACCCCAAACTAAGGCCTAGGAGTTAGCACTAAATCTAAGCTAGGGATGTTTTTGCCTGGCCTTGTCCTCTGTCTTTCACACCCTCTCTTAATACGTAGCAAAAAACACTCTATTTTTCCTTTACCCTCACAACATGCTTCTGACACCAGATGTGTAGGATTTTTTTCCCCCAGATACATCAAGCAAGTGGTCAGTTCTGTAGTGGACATCAGCTAGATGTCCTCCAATTCAATTCTGACACTATCTACCTGGAGATAGCATCAGATCCCACAGGTTGAGGGCTCAGCCCCACAAAACTGCTCCCCCCTTCCCATACCATTTGCATTCCCTAGGCTGTTGTAACTGTTCTTCTGACTGAATTACTAAATTAGGTTTCCCATAACCCGCTCCTTGGATTTGAATAATTTCCTAGAGCAGAACTCAGGGAAACACTTATATTTACCAATTTATTATAGAGGATATTGCAAAGGATACAGTTGAAAAGATGCATAGGCAAAGCATGTGAGAAGGGGCGTAGAGCTTCCATGCCTTC